TACTCTAATCTCGAATATGCACAGCAGCAAGCAGACGGGCAGTTCATCCTCATGAAGGCTCAGGATAATCCCTTTCGCGGCCTTCCAATTGAAAATCCTGACACATTTGGGCCTTGCTGGATGCTGGTTGACTGGGACAGGGATGGTGACCTGGACTTGGTGATGGCCTACACCAATTGGTCGCTCAACACAGCCGGGGAAATTCTAGAATATATTCAAGATGGTGGAGTCGCAGCAATGGCGGCACATGTTGGTGTCCAGGTGCGTCTCTATATGCAAGAGAACAGCAGCTTCACAGAAGTTACGGGTGCGGAAAGCCCGTTTTACGGAATGCAGGGTCTGCCCCTGTACCCCTCGTGCCCAGCCATGTCTGACCTCGACAATGACGGGGACCTGGACCTGCTGTTGGTGAACATGTACGGTTCTCTGCTCTATTATGAACAACATGAAAGCCAATTCCATTTGTCTCTGTCCAGCCACTTTTCGGACGTTCGCCTTCAATCGGCGAACCCAGATCGCCCACCGCACATTTGGTTGACAGACTGGGAAGGGGATGGTGTGATGGATCTGGTCGTCCGCACACGGGCTGAGATGCAACTCTTTCGGCGGGGTGCTTGCACGCCTCATGCCCCGCAGTCTTTTTGCATGTTCGGATCTTGCAATCAGAAAACATCCGAGTGCATGTGCTCCCCCGGAGCAGTTGGAGGGGAGTGCAGCCTCTGCGACATGTACTACTTCCGGGCAAAGGACGCATGCCAGCGGTGCCCTGGCCACGGGACCCTGGCAGGGACCTGTAGCCGGCGGGGCGTCTGCCAGGATGACTTGGATGCTCGAAAGAGGATGGCTTTGCAGAATCGGACAGGTTTCCAGTTGCTTGCAGCTAGAGGACAGTGAGCCGCACATGCACGTGCAGGGATGCTATCTTGCTGTATCGGATTGACTTGAGTTTGTAGGCTGAAGTCCAAACGTCTAAAGTCGCTGCAAAACATGCCAGAACACTTCCCAAATTCACATGACTCTGAACCTGCGTCATGCCATTCACCCGAGTCGCGTATTGACCTCGCTCACCACATTTTCTTCCCCCTGAGTTTGGCAGCTTGGCAGGAACTGGTCGGTGTGACTGTGTAGCACCCTTCAACGGCACTGGCTGCGATGAGGGGCTCGTGCCTGAGACAGCCGGAGCGCTTGAAATACGATCTCTGTGTGTGTGTGTGTGTGTTTTTTTTTTTTCAGGCACTGTTGTGGCTTTCCTGTCGCAAACGATAACCATTTTGGAGTTGCTCTCGTTGCGGCATTGTGCTTAGCTCGGAACTGCCAAGAAACTGGCATGCCATAAACGAGGTTTACACGGGGTTTGTAGATTTCTCGTTAGGTCTTGAGGATTTCGTCATGTGGGCCCCTGCAGTCCGAAAGGTCCGCTGATAGCAAAGCCCCCGAACTCTGGTGCTGCGTCCAGCCTTGATAGAAGTTCAGGCGGTTGCTGAGCCCTGAACCCTAAACCCCAAACCCTGGCCAAAGCTTTCACAGCCGCCTTCTATTTGACAAATCTTTGTTTTAGACAGGAAAAAAACGCCAGTCAGGCTACGCTCTGAACTTTGACTCGCTCCGTAAGCCGTATGGCGGGTTTAGGGTTTAGGCCGTTCGAAAGCTGGATGAGGTGAAAGGAGGTTCGAAGATGGGCGACGGGTGCAATGTCAGGTCCTGTCCGCCGGGGAAGCGGCCAGTTCGTGACGCACAGACCCCGCTGGCAAGCGACCAGCTGCTTGGCGGCAGGTTCCAGTCGTGGCTTGTGAGCTATACTTCACCCTGTAAACTGGCCAAGGTACCCCGTCTGGGAAATCTGCGTGCCTTGTCAGCCCGGGCGCTACAAGAGCGAGAGCGGCAATCGTGACTGCTCTATCTGCGAAAGTGGGTTTGTCCCCGTCGCCAGGTTGCAGGATCAGAAGCGCTTTAGTGATTTTGAAGCTGCCGCACCAGTCTCCAACATCCGCACGACAGGCCGCCGACAACACCAGCTGCGTTCGCTGCGAGGCTGGTTGGACTATCAGCCCTAAAGCCAGAACGGACCCGATACTCTGTCTCCATTGTAGCCTTGCAATTGGTGCTCTGGTGTCTGTGAAATCCACCCTAAACCCTAAACCCTAAACCCTAAACCCTAAACCCTAAACCCTAAACCCTAAACCCTAAACCCTAACCAGATTGGAGTCTCCAGGCGGGCACCCGCGCAGCGCCGATGAGCCCCGGGAGCCGGCCGAAGTGCCTCCCCTGCTTCGCAGGCCAGGGGTTTAGGGGCTTAGGGCCCCTATATGGGCTCCTGATTCCAGAGAGCACCATTCACAGACTGCCGATAAGTGGCCACGTACTGTAATATTTCATCCAAGAAAGTGGCTGAGAAGCTTCCTGCTAGGCTACGTGGCGGCATCTGGATCAACCACATGCAGGGGCTGTGCTGCTGGCACTGCTCCAAGCAAGGGAAACAGCACCTGTGTAGCTTGCGAGCCGGGGAAGTATGCGATTCCGCTCGCTTCCCAGTGCCTCGGTGGATGTATGGCAGTGGAGTTTCTTGCCAAGAATTCAGAGAGGAAGCTTCGGGTGTGTGTGTCTGAGGTGCAGCTACTGTCAGGAAGGCTCCGTACCGGATCTTGAAGCTGCTAGGGGGCGCTGCGTGAAGTGCAGTGGCCAGACTTATGCCGGCCCCGGAGATGACGCATGTCAGCCCTGCTCCTTCCCCCGGATGGTCCTGGCTTACAACTGGTGCACGCTTCTTTGGTTCCTACTTCTTGTGCTTGTCATCCTCCTTCTGGTGCTGTTTGGCCTGGTGTTTTTGGGACGTCTTCGCCTTGTGTGTTTAGAAAGTCGACTAGCAGGCCTCATCCAAGCCAAGAGCTGGGAGGAGCTGCATGCCACAGAGATCAGCCTGGCAGAGTACGGCATGTGGAGGGACAAGGCCAACGAACTCATTGCTGCACGCCGCGCGGAGATCAAGGCACAGTCGCTTCAGCTTGGGATCTCCTTACAGTATGTCTTCGACGAGCTGGGCGAGGTGCCTAGCACGCAGTGAGATCTAAACGATCGGAGCCCCGAATCCCGAATAGTTGAGCATGTGAAGGTCTACCGCCAGAAGGCGCGGGTTGCCGAGTGGCGTGTTGATGGCTGGCCAATGACGCGCAGCGGCTACCTTGTGAAGACCCGCTATGATGCCACCCAGGCATCCCAGGCTCCACACCACGAAAGCGCACAGGACGAGGCTGCCTGGAGCAGGTTGCCGCCATGCAGCCCGCCCGAAGACCCCAACTTTCATCAGGTGGCCAGTGTCCTGGCTTACGGACCTTGGGCTTTGGGGAAGCACCAGTGCTGCCCCCGGGATGGCCGTGCAGATTGCAGCGTTGTAGATGCGCTGCAAGTGAACTCGCACAGTGGAAGGGCCACCTGGTTCATGTCGTGGGCTTGGGGATACCATTTCACGACTGTGCAGAAGGCGTTGAAACGATGGTGGGCCAAGCATCAGATTGTCTGCGGCGCAGGTGCCATGTTCGGAACGGAAAGTACCGACAGACCGACCGGAGCCAGCAACGTCTACGTTTGGTGGTGCGTGTTTGTGAACAACCAATTCCGAATGCTAGAAGATGGCTTAAAGGAAGAGGCTGACGATCTTTTCCAAGTTTTTGGGGGACGTCTTGAGGAGATTGGCAAGATGCTCATGTGCATGGACAAGCTGAGGAATGGCACGTACACCACTAGGACCAAGACCTTTGGAGTAGTGTCGGGGTCTGACTGGATACGTTCCGGATACGATTGCGATACGATCTGGATGTGAAATCGTCTCGATTGTCATACGATTCGGGAGCTACAGTTCGGATGCGATCTGGATAAAGTTTCCTTTGCGGCGTATCGAAAATGTGCTTGAGTTGCTCTGCAAGCGTACTGGAAATATCTCCAGGTATCTTCAGGTACAGTGCATTGAAACCCATTTTCCCCTTCCCGCGTAATCGTATCCGGACTGTATCAGAATCGTATCGATCGAAAGTGCATAGCAACCCATCCCAGATCTGCATTCGCATTCGTTTTGAAATCGTATCCTTGGGTCGCATCAACATCTTATATGACAACCCATACAAGAAAACCATCTAACATTTGCTTCCTCTCTAGTCCACAAAGCCTTGGCACTAGGATTTGGTGCATCTACGAGGTCTTCGTCGCCTGCCAAAAGGGCATTCCGACCACAGTGATTCTTCCTGAGATCGAGGTCGATGCTGTCGACACCTGGAGGGAAGTCATGCAGGCCAGCTGTGTCTCAAACTTTTTGGTCGTGTCACGCGTTGTTTTTGTTCTTTTTTAAATGCCTCGACGCTTAGAGCCTGGAGCTGAAATTTCTGAGGTGTGCCGTGTGGATGCAGAGCAGGCATCTGCATCCGAGAAGGCCGACGCGGACAGGATCAAGAAGCACATCAAGGAACAGCACAAGTCCTTCAAGTATGTGAACGAGACTGTGGAGCAAGCGCTGTGGTGTGGGTGCTCAAGTACCTGGAAGAGTGGCTTAAATGCACATTTTGCAGGGACCTGAGCCTCTAAGCACTGTGGGGTCCCATTGATGCCAGTGTGAGGCAGGATCTGCCAGCAGTTGGCGAAGTCACGGTCGCGGCCGAAGCAGATTCAGCACTGCAGTCGGACAGGACAGCCTGCGTTGGCAGGTTCTCAGTGCATTTCGGCGCTGATTTCCAGCCTCTTCCAAACCAAAGACCCCCTCTGGCCCTCTGGTGCAGGAGCAAGAACGGGCTGTCCACAACCGCCACAACCGACATCGAAGCTTCCGTGGCTTCCTCGTTTAGCACGGAGAAGTTCTTGAGTGGAAATGCCCGTGGCTAATCAAGATTCTTTTAGGGGCTCGCTGGGCTTGTGAGTTGAGCTGTGCGAATCAGTTGGATCGGGGTGCTGCAGCCCTAGGTTGTCACCTTCAGTGATGTCGTCTTCCTCGTCTCTGGACTTCTTGGGCCGAGTGTTTTAAGCCCCCGCGGCCACTTTGCCTCCTGCTTTACTCATCCTGAGAATCTGCTGTCAGTTTTGTTTGTTTATATGCCTTACCTAAACCCTGAGCAGATCGCCTTCAAATGCTTCGGGACGAGGGCGCGGGATCAGGCGGAACCTCCATTAGCCCTTGCAGGGCCGTTTAAGTAATTCGTCCCAATCTCATGGTGTCAGCTCTGTTCCTTGGTAGGCTTTTAGGGTTTAGAGATTAGAGAGCTGTTAGACAGGGGTTTTGCACGAGTGAGCGCTGCTGTGGGCGTTCAGAACCCGAGTTGAGACCATGGTGCTGACAGGGTTGCCGCGATCTGCTGGCATGGTGCCCTGAAGCCAGGAGACCAGGGATTAGGGTTCAGGGTGCAGGGTTCCGGGATTTAGGGGGTTTTAGGGTTTAGGAGGGCTTGGACAGATGCCTGGCTTCTCAGTTCTCCAAAGTGGTCTGCCTCACGAAGTAGGCACCCAAATCTCCTCAGAAGGGGGGGCAATGTTGGCGGGGGGGAGAGATGCAGGCAAGAGACCTGGTTCACTCCACGCCATGTAACTCTGGTGAAGGCGGCCGCAACGCCGGGGCAAAGACGGAGTTCGGGGCGTGGTTCTCATTGACTTGAGTTTTATATGGCGTGTTGTAAGAAGTCCGAAATTTCTCGGTGTGGGGGAGCCCACCATGGTGTACAGACTCACGCTTGAATGCCCAAGGCTGGGAGACACAGGAAAAAGTTGAGTGTTGCCTCATGAGCTCTTGATTCTGACTGCGAAAGACCTAGATTGCCATGGGTTTGGGGTTTAGGGTTTGGGATTTAGGGCTAAACCCGAAACGCTATTGATCTGCGTCTCGGGAGCAGAGAAGGCTACAACAGCCACTTGTGACGTCGACGCGCCTGATGTTGTCTCCGGTTCGTCCGCGCAGCCTCACAGAGGATCCTTCCACAGTCCGGGATGTCTTTGGCTCTCCTCAGCTTTTAGGCGTAGGAGGAGGTTTTGTGAGTAGCTTGGGGTCGTGGAGTTTGGGAATTCAGGCTCGGGGGGGGGCCCTGCTTTATCCTTTTTTTTCTTTGAAGACTTGGGCAGTGTAGAGTCTAGACCGCTCGCCGATGGACCCGATGGCCAGCTCCGGCCTCGGCCCTGTTGGGCCAGTGGAGCACTACATTGCGGAGACGCAGAGCCCGGTGACAACGGAGCTCCTGAGGGATGTCCTCGACGAGATGCCCGAGGCGGGAGTCGTGCAGTCTTCGCTCTTTGAGTTTCGGATCTTCCTTGCGGCGCTTGCGGCGCCCTGCAAGCGACATCGGAAGCCATTCGCCGGCGACAGCGCCCAGCAGGCTGCGACTCCAGCGGCGGGCGGGAAAAGGCGTGAAAGAGAATAACAAAAACAATCCATCGTCGACAGTAGGGTTCTGAACAATAACTCATACTTTCGGCTCCTGAACTCTCAAGCAGTTCGTGCCGCCAAGATTCTGATCGGCATGCCTCCAGCCCCTAGGTCCTGCTCGTATACAGCTTTTTGGACTGTACAATAGTATATGGTACATGGCCGAAATGTTGTGGGCCATGAAGTTCTAGAGGGGCATTCAAGACCGGAGCCGCCCAACTAAGACTTGGTCATGTGTTTTTTTTCTCTGCCGTCGCTTTTACAAGCTGCCTCCTAGGGCTTCGTCCAAAGGCTTCGTGCAGATGTGGATGTTGCAAGCCTCCTACTATACTTCCATTTGTTAGGACCCAAACGAGTGTATGTTAAGGGCTCTTGAAACGGGACTAGCCTGTCCTGGCTTCAAGATTCTGCCAAATTAGCGCCCGGCGCGCGTAGGAAGACCGTGCCTGTTCAAATCCGCTCATTGCGCTATGTCAGCCATAGGTTGGACCTGCTTCGTGGAGTGCAGTTCCTGCCATCACTTCCAGGAGATCCCCTCATGGCAGGAGGAACTTCCCTGTCCGCATGCTGAGGAGCACAACTGTCCCGGAACCATGGTGCGGAGAGCTTCTGGGTTCCTGAACCGCTTTCGAAAATAGTTATGTGTTCTGTTACATAGTTAAACTGTATGTACAGGAGTCTACAAAAAGTAATTGTTGCAGGGGTTCCAAGAACAGCTAAGGTTCAGGTGGCTGTTGAGTAGCGAGTGGAAGGAACGAGCCTCCACTACCACTTGTGTTTGCAAGCGGCCGGCTGCGACAGTGAGAGCCTGCAGGATGTCTGGTGATGTCGTCGAGATCGGTGTTGGTGCGCAGTGGACTGTGCTTGAGGCGAAGCGGAAGCTTGCCAAAGTCATCAAGGTTCCTGCCCGCGAGCAGTGCTGGTCTTTCAAGCAGCGGCTCTTGCAGGATTCTTCTTTGCTCGAGACTTTGGAGGCCTCCGACGGCCCGCCGGAAGTTCTCTTGGCGCTGCGAGACCCCGAGGTCGCAATGTGGATGGAGCGCATTGGTGCGGACTGGACTGTTGTGAAGAGAGACTTCGAGAACGTCCCCCAGCAGGTGTGGAAGTCAGGCGAGGTGATCTTGGAAATCCTCCAGCACACCCCGGAGGCTCTTCGATACGCCGACGCCGAGCTGTTTGACGATGCAAACTTCGTGCTTTCAGCTTGCGAGTTGCGTGGCTACGACAAGACATCTGCGGAATCTCTCCGATGGCTGCAGACCATCGCAGACTGCAAGCTCTGCTTGTGTTATGCGATCAAACAGAATGACATACACATGGCCGAAACAGCTATTCGCTGTGAGCACGTACTTGCCAAAGCAAGCCGGCTGGACATTGCAAGCTTTGTGGTGTATGCCTTCTTCTGCGACGTTTTGGAATCCGACAAAGAGTACCTATTGACGCTCCTGGCGGGCCTGCCGCACACCGCCTTGTCGCACCTGGACCCCAAAAGTATGTCAAACAATGGCCTTGCGGGCTGTTTGTATGGTTTTTGGCCAATTTTTCAACATACTGTTGGGATCCAGGCATGGCTTCTGTTCTCAAGCAGCCACCGACTTGGCCTTAGCTCGAGCCTTGCTCCCGCAGCGGCCAAGTGCAGCGGGCCTTGGAGACGCTTTGAAAGCCAATGAAAGCACTTCAAACTCTCCGCGTGTGATATAGATATAGACGCATACATATAATCATGCATATAGAGATGTAGTTATGGATATAAGTACATGTATAGATACGGATAAGGATATTCTTTCTGAGCCAATCATCGACCTTCTTTTTTTGTCTCCCTAGTCTTGGTCCTTATGAAAAAACGTTGAACTTGTTATTCCTTGGCGGTTGGAGAACGGAGGACAACAGCAGCCCATTGCTGGCTCCGGCTGGCGATGGCCTCAGAGCTGAAAACTTTGCCCTGGGTGTGTTGTTGACTCATTCAGGCGAGCTGACGCCAGCAGAGTTTGACCATTTCCTGAAGATCTGCTGTGCCAGGGGAGACTGCGTGCCTACCAGCAAGGCCAGAACGCTCCTGGCAACATGCTTGTCACGCTCGTATGACGCAGACAAGCTTACAATGCTGTTGACCTGGGCAAGCCAAGGGGACTACAAGGGCTTTGTGCCCTTCATTCTCGAGAAACGCGTTGCGCTCGGCTTCCTGGCAAAGATGGAATCGAGGGACCGCTCCGCGATTTTTGGAGAGCTGCTGGATTTTTGGGGAAGTCCAGAGGAGATTGCGGCTGCTATCGCAGAGAACCGCCGCGAAATTCGATCCCTCTTGCGATGGGCCATCGATCAGGAAGATGCAGCTGTCTGCCAGTCAAGCAGACTGACAACAACACTGGCCCACGTTGTAGGCCGCAGCCTGCAACAGAGCCATGACAGTGCTGAGGTGGGCCAGATGCTGTTTTGCCTCTGCTTTGCTGGAGCTTGCTTGCCAGATGACATCTCTGAGACCATACCCATGGAATGGCTGAAAGAACTCAGGACGTTGCGAGGGAGCGAGGCCTTTCTGGCAAGCACCCTGCTGACTCGAATGGAGCAGTGCGATGACACAAATCTCAGGGAGAGGTTCCCAGATGTCTGGTGCCCTGTTTGGGGCAACTTAGAAGCAGAAGCCTGCCATAGAGCTGTGGCTGTGGTTGCAAGGTGGTGCAAGTTGGCTGGGCCTGATGCGGACGGAGCAGCTTTTGCCATCAGAGTGCTGAGGAACTTACCCCTGCATGCGTTGAGCGGTCCTTCTCTGGACATTGTGTACTCACCAGAGCTGCCGGTGCAGGCTGGCACCATATACGTAGTCCAGCTACTTCAACAGAATCGGAAGGAAGATCGAGAAGAGCTGCAGAGATTTGTCGACGAGTCCAATCGGAGATTTGCGAGTACTCGTCAGGAGTTGAGCAGAGTTTCAGAAGCAGCTTCAGACGCCCTCCAAATGGCGGAAGATGCGACGCGCCGAGCAGACCGGGCGGCAGACGCAGCCCGGCGCGCCCAAACTGAAGCCGAAAAGGCAAACAAAAAAGCCCGCCGCAACGAACGCGGGGCCGACTTCGACTAAAGGCCAAAAGCCCAGATGTTTCGGGACAGCCTTGTATGCAACATCGCACAGCCGTAGTTGCCCGTTGGGGCCATATGCCTCATTTGCTGTGTTGGGCCTGGACGGACATGCGATGCACGTGGATATACACAGAATACTCTACTCTATCGCACGCTATAATACTACGTAGGACTGCTTTTCAGGTATTCAGCTAAAGGCATACAGTTCCAGGCCTACAAATGCATTTGTTCTTTTGTAGGTCTGACACATCCAAACTTGAAAGCGAAGCTGGCGCTAGTATTGGATGCGACGTGCGCAACATTCAGCTGGCGTGGGCAAGAGCAAGGCTTCTTGATTTCTGCAAGTGCAGATCTGTCGCATAGTTGCCTGCCCAGTTTGCTATGGGCCGAAGAAGGGAGTCGTGTGAGAAGAGTCGAGACGCTTGGCCAGGACTGTCAGCAACCGCACAGATTTGCATGGATTAACTCTCGGGCTCCGGCGCCTAGTCAAAGACAAGACCCACTGCCAGCACTTGAAAGTCGTGGGCGACTCACAGCTGATCCTGCAATTCATGCAAAGGCAGAGGAAGGTGGAAGATCTCATTTTGTGGGTCATGGTCAGCATCGCCATGGCAAGCCGGCAGGCCATTTTCCAAGTTTGCTTTTTACCAGGTTCCGCATGAGAAGAACAAGGCGTCAAAATCACGAGCTGAACGGAGGGCATGCCAGCAAGGATTGGTTGAGGGTGATCTTTGTGAGCCCTCCAGTGTGACTGACGACGGCATACGCGCAAACGTTATCAATGACTTCATGGCCTTTGCTCACACTGGGACAGGAAGCTCAGATCCGTGATGTCATTGTGGTCCAAGACCTCCCAGCTCCGATGAAGACCTCCTCTGACCATCCCCAGATTGTTCGGATCATGAAACAGAAGAAGGCATCAATTGTCTTCAATGCAAACACCCGACTGCGATCCGATTTGTTCCCAGAGCAGTTTCAAGCGCACAGGTTTTGGGAGCCATCGGACGTTCATTTTACAGCTGCGGGCCATCCATAATGGCATGACTTGATTGATTTCACCGTAGGACGTCTCGCCGGCTTCAAGGACGAAGCTGGGTTTCTTAAGTAGACAGCATATAGCTGCAGGGAATTGAAGCAAAACGGTTCGTGCATCAAGCAACTGCTAATCTGCTGATCACGGCTGGAACAACTGCCGGCCTTGGCGCCCCTCCCAGTCGTACAGGATGTTGTACCAACAAAAACAGCAGCTGAGGAGAAACAAAACCATTTCATTCCTGCGGGCTCGACAGACTGATGTTTGCTGTTAGTTGTTTGCAGCGCCTTTGCACCACAAACGAACACGTTGCTGCCATCGACTCCGGACAGGTAGGCTTGCCGCATTGCCTTGTCGAAGCAATCCACATCCTTGACACCGCCGTAGACCAAGATCGGGACATTGTTCCTCGGGTCCTGCGCTGCGCAGCCGAAATCGGCAGCGAGGGCATCGTTGACATGGCGGGTGGTGTATAGTACTTTACATGTACACGATTGTGACAAGTTCTAATAGTTCTAGTATACATAGCTTTCATAGCAGCCATTGAGATGCGCTCCTGCTGTTTCTAAGTCAAGGATCCTACCCTCACGAGCAACATCGGTTTTACAAGCAGCATCACTTCATGGATTCCTAAGCACTCGGCCGCTAGCAAGGGTCCATGGCTTGGGAGTCCTGGCAGAGACTTCTGCTCACGGATACATCCCCTAAACCGGATTCGAGCCATGCTCCCAGCAGCGCCTATCAAAGCTTCCTTGTCTTCGCGCGCTCTGCACCGGTGGAGCCCTGAGCCGTGAGCCTCCGTGCGTTGCTTTTGGGGTCCAACGTCAACTTAGGTTTTAGGGTTGCGTTTTGGGGTTTAGGGTTTAGGGCCAAAAAGGGCCATGATCATCTTACTCGCATCTGTACTGGTATTCATGCATTGCGATTCTCGCTGCCCTTGGCTACTCTTCACATGGCTTACTGTTGCCATCACTGCTGCTAGTATCGTGCTTATGCCCAGTCATCAAGGGGAGGCCCTCCATGAGCCCTTGTTGAGGGTACTTGCGGCTCAACGATTTCACGTGGAAGGGCTCAGAAGCCTGCTTGAGGGTTTGGGGCTTACTGTAGGCCAGAACAAGTCGATCTAGGGGTCCCGAAAGAAAACCTCCACTTTGGAGCCCTGGCGCAGTTAGGATTTTGGAGCAGCGGCAACAATACACACGTGGAAGGGTTTGAGTTTTAGGGGCCCTGGGGTTCGAAGATGTTCGAAGCCGTGAGTTGCTGGAGTGATACCGGAATGAGTCAGGAAAGAGAGGTGGAAACTGGAGTCGAAGTTTGGTTCAATCCTGGCTTTTGGCGCGAACCAACGGCTCTAGCACAGACGGCTTCGGGTTTAGGGTTAGGGTTAAGGTTTAGGGATGAGGATTGACTGGTGATCTTTGCGCTGGCCAAGCTTCAGGCTTAAGAACTTGTGTGGCCGAAAGCATTGCAAACTGTCTCGTTTCCAGTAGAACGAGACATGATGTAGTGGAGGATGGTATAGGGTATTGACAATTATAGTGCAGACACTGTGACACTCAAAGAGGCTTTGGATCTTGGGTTCCAGGAGCTCTTGGTTCAAGCAGACTCGGGAGTCACGCCCTTGCCTAAAGCCGGCCATGCCCACCGTGCATCTGGAACTGAGTTGAAGCTTACCTGTTTTTGCCTCTTTCTTAGACGAAGGTGTGTGTAAGCGAAATAGCCAGAAATTGCTTGTTTGCCGTTGACGATGTCAAAGAACTGCAAGCAAGAACATTCGGAGATCTGTTCATTCTGCTTATGAATGCTTGAAACGCTATTTAATTCTGACTACAGGACAGGTTTTTTCGCAACGCCTCCTATTCAAGCCCAGGTACCACGGCACGTCCAAGGAACGCCGTGCCAGCATCATGGCTCAGGGCTTGAGGGAGTCGACGAGAGGCCGTTTAGGTCCTGGTGTCTACTTCACGTTCACTGAAGGCCAGGCAAGGCGCATAGCAGAGGCACGCCATGGCAACTAGTCTGTTGGTAGCCCTTCTTGTTTCTTAGTTTACTTTCCTGAAAGAAGTCGAATACCCAAGAAGTTTTCGAGGGGCCTTTCGTACTCGGGGACCTAGGCAAGGAGAATGCTGACGTCTATTCCGTGCGTATTGATGCCTCGGACATTCGACAGGTGGCAGAGCATCCGGCTTGGTGCGGTATGTCGGCATTTAGGGAGGTTGTTGTAAGGGGCTCAGCCACGGGACGGAGCGCCATCCGTCTAGAAGGAGGGGCCCAGTCCACCATGAAGGACCTGCGGGCGTGGGTTTGCGTGGCAGTTGGCATTGGGACTTTCGCTGTATTGATGTGGGGGGTGCCATTCAGAGTCAATGAGGAGAACATGCGGAACACTCAGGCCGCGGCCCCGACATCAGAAACACTGCGTATTGCACTTGTGCGGATTTCTGCCACAGTGACTTCCAGTTCGACGTTCGTGGCATTGACACAGATGTCTACCGCGGTTGCTTCCAGTTCGCAGTTCGTTTACAACATGGGTTTGGTGCCTTTCTACTATCATGTGCTGGCACCGGCACCGGATCTGATGCGGCGTGCATTGACACAGATTTCTGCCGCGGTGGCTTCCAGTTCGCAGTTCGTTTACAACATGGGTTTGGTGCCTTTCTACTATCATGTGCTGGCACCGGCACCGGATGTGATGTGGCGTGCATGGACACAGATTTCTGCCGCGGTGGCTTCCAGTTCGCAGTTCGTGTACAACATGGGTTTGGTGCCTTTCTACTATCATGTGCTGGCACCGGCACCGGATCTGACGTGGCGTGCATGGACACAGATTTCTGCCGCGGCGGCTTCCAGTTCGCAGTTCGTGTACAACATGGGTTGGGTGCCTTTCTACTATCATGCGCTGGCACCGGCGCCGGATCTGATGTGGCGTGCATGGACACAGATTTCTGCCGCGGCGGCTTCCAGTTCGCAGTTCGTGTACAGCATGGGTTTGGTGCCATTCTACTATCACGTGCTGGCACCGGCACCGGATCTGACGTGGCGTGCATTGACACAGATTTCTGCCGCGGCGGCTTCCAGTTCGCAGTTCGTGTACAACATGGGTTTGGTGCCTTTCTACTATCATGTGCTGGCACCGGCACCGGATGTGATGTGGCGTGCATGGACACAGATTTCTGCCGCGGCGGCTTCCAGTTCGCAGTTCGTGTACAACATGGGTTTGGTGCCTTTCTACTATCATGTGCTGGCACCGGCACCGGATCTGATGTGGCGTGCATGGACACAGATTTCTGCCGCGGCGGCTTCCAGTTCGCAGTTCGTGTACAACATGGGTTTGGTGCCTTTCTACTATCATGTGCTGGCACCGGCACCGGATCTGACGTGGCGTGCATTGACACAGATTTCTGCCGCGGTGGCTTCCAGTTCGCAGTTCGTGTACAACATGGGTTTGGTGCCTTTCTACTATCATGTGCTGGCACCGGCACCGGATCTGACGTGGCGTGCATTGACACAGATTTCTGCCGCGGTGGCTTCCAGTTCGCAGCTCGTGTACAACATGGGTTTGGTGCCTTTCTACTATCATGTGCTGGCACCGGCGCCGGATCTGACGTGGCGTGCATTGACACAGATTTCTGCCGCGGTGGCTTCCAGTTCGCAGCTCGTGTACAACATGGGTTTGGTGCCTTTCTACTATCATGTGCTGGCACCGGCACCGGATCTGACGTGGCGTGCATTGACACAGATTTCTGCCGCGGTGGCTTCCAGTTCGCAGCTCGTGTACAACATGGGCTTGGCGCCTATATATTATGACATCGTGATACCGGCAGCGGAATGTGTCTTCCAGACAGGTGGAGCCTCTTGCCCGGGTACTCGTCATTGACAATTGAGCAGACCCCATCACCAAGGATGGTCCCTAGTTGGAACTCAGGGTCTCTCTTTGCAGAGGCAGAGGCATGCAGAACTAGTTTGTAGCCGGCCCTATCGGGATGGGGACAACTGTCCAAGTAGAATGGCTACCACACCATTGAACAGCTATTAGAGTTCAGAACCAGGGGTTTAGGTTTTCGGCCTTTTTTATGACCTTACATACTGTGGATTGGAACAGGCCTTGGCAAGACTTTGCAAGACTAAGGTTCAAAAGAAAACGTCCGCTGCTTTGCGTTGCATGTCTCGGCTTACGGTTACTGCAAGGTTAAAGACACTTTTTTCTAAGGCAGGATGTGTCTCCTTCACCACTAACTAAAATTAAACGTAGCCAGCGCCGACAGGCCTCCCCTCGCCTTGAGTTCCACAAAAGGTGTCTGCATGTTTTGCTCATGGCCGAACAAAATCATGCTGTAATGATATTAAATACTATAGCACTAATGTATACGAAAACATAGTACCATCACAATACTATACTAGTACTACTATACAAATACGAATAATAGTGATAGTCATAATAGTAATAGTAGCAATAATCGTAATAATAGTAGTAATAATGGTAAGAAAATAGTACCAATAGTAAGAATAGAAATAATAGAGATCATAAGAAAAACAATAATAGCAATATGAATAATGATCCTCATGCACAGTAGCCGTTTGCTGGTGAGGGTCATAGACTCAGTCCTGGCTCTCCAACCCCGAGATGCGAAACCCTAAGCCCCAAACACTCCCCACGCCTGAACCCTGAACCCTCATAGCATTCTAATCCCACCAACAATTAGGGCCTTTGGGGGTTAGGGATTGCCGAAAAGCTTCGAAGCCACTGGAAGCACGAATCCAAGAAATATAAACCCGAAACCGCAATCGTACACACCCTAACCCCCTCCCCCCACCCCCGCTCCACCCGCTAAACTTTGCAACCTAAACACCCAACAGGATTTTTGGGGGGTCCTGCCGGTCAGGGTTTAGGGTTTAGGGCTTTAAGGTTAAGTGCTCTTCCAGCGGTCTCTTAACCAAGAACTTGGAATATCCCATATTCTGCGAAATATACTTAAGGTCTTCTCAATTCCAATTTCTTTCATTCTCCATATCTAAACCCCAGAGCACAAACCCCAAATCGTGGAGTCTACGAATTCCAGGTTTGATCACTCCAAATTTTGGATTGTATTTTAATATTCTGCGAAATATGCATCTTATCAATTCCAATAATACCTTATAAATCCCATCTTCGAGGTTTTATACCCTTTGGGTGGCAGAAAGATAACCTTTAAAGGGGTTTAGGGCCTGAGGCGCCTGCTGCCGTGAATTTCTAGGATAGACCTCCCGACGTGTTTGTGATTTTGGGGACAGGGATTTTTGGGTGTAGGGTTATCGAAGAGTATAGGGTAGCGTAACATCTTCGAGCGCCTGGGGGAAATCTGTGGGTAAGAGCCTCGTGATTTCAATTCCATGACAACCAGCGAGGAAGATCATGGATGCTGTGATGGGCAGATGACGCATGACACTACAATACTCTAGTAGAATATGGTATACTACAGTACACTCTACAGAACACTCAGGGAATAAAGAGGATTGACTCCTGAAGCGATTCCCAGGCTGACGAGGCGGCCCGAGCTCAGTGAGCCCTAGAGGGGTGCTGGGGTCTGAAGTGGCAGAGGGAAAGGTGCTCGGCTTAGGGTTCAGGGTTTCGGGTTCTTCCTACCCGGTTTGCGTTATGTGGCTTCTGGGAGTTGCATGTTTGCCGGCAGCCTCCAAAGTCCGCTGCTCAAGAGGGTTCTTCTTACAGCCTTTCGATTGTGTCATGCCCGTGAAGATTTTGCACTTTCTTTTCAGGACTTCTAGTGCCGAAACCCTAAACCATATTGTTCTCGACAACAATGCACGCTGCTAAACCCCATAATCCTGAAGCCCTGACCTCTACAAACCCTAAACCCCAATCCCTAGACCCTTACAGCTGCTGCTGCTGCTACTACTACTACTACTACTACTACTACTACTACTACTACTACTACTACTACTACTACTACTACTACTACTACTACTACTACTACTACTACTGCTACTGCTACTGCTACTGCTACTACTGCTACTGCTACTGCTACTGCTACTGCTACTGCTACTATTACGACGACGACGACGACGACTACTACGACGACGACGACGAGTACGAGTACGAGTAGGAGTACGCGACGACGACGACGACTGCTACTACCACCCCTACGGCTGCTGCTGTAAAGCCTAATGTCCCTAAAGCCTCAAGCCTAAGCCCAAATCCCGAAACCCTAAACCCTAAAATGTCCTTCTCGTGGAGAATGGCTAGACGGGCGGCAAAAAAAATTGTCCTTCTCTTCCCTTCGGTCAAAGTCGAATCTGAGCTCGGCGCGCTTCGGCGACTTAGGAGCTCAGGCGGTTTGGGGATTTAGGGTAGGGGCTTTAGGACCAGAGTTTAGAGTGGATTTCATGGTTTTTGGGTGTAGGGAATTTGGGGAGTAGGGTGTTCAGGGTTTTGGGCCTCTGTACATTCAGCTCGGGATTGAAAGTGCCCAGCGTGTGTTGTTTAATCCACTCCTGGATGTCGTCCGCTGCGATGGGAAAAAAAGAAACGTCCAGACATGGGCAGCAGTGACGGCGGGGGCTGCGAGCACGCGCGAAGAATTGCTCAGAACATGTTTGCATAATTTTGCATACACGTTCGAGGCAAGAAGTGATTCTACGCATACAGTGTTGTGCGCTAAGTAATGTGGGGCGACCTTTCACGATTGCGACTACTGAAGGTCTCCGCCAGCATGCGACAGCCAACTCGTTGCACTGCTGGCCTCATGAACTTGCCGTGTGTTGCTGCAGCTTTTTTGAGCGTCGTTGTGTAGTTTAGAGGGAAGCACAGCATTGCTCGTGCAGGCAGGAGCCTCAGCAACATTGGCCATGCGGCTGGTCATGAACAAAACCGCCGCAACCATACAATTCCATACAATACTGTCCAACGCAGTCCGTGTTTTCGTGTGCTGCCGGGCTGACCCATCAACAGGGTTAGGAAGCAGGGCCACAGCTACTATTTAGCATATCAGAGTCAGCTAGAGCACCATTGAAGGAACTGCAAGAAGCGAGGTTGCACGTTCTGTCATAGGGAACTTGTTCCATGCACACGAAGTTGCAGGCTTAAGGGAAAGGTATGGGAAGCGAGCGCTTTTAACTTGGCCGCGCACAGTGTGAAATGCAATGCTTTACTGTCTTGCTGGGGCTGTTGAGAGATGTTGCGGGCCCATATGCCCAAGGAACCCAAACACGCGAATGATGTTGTCACGACGTCATCGCTCTGCGTTTTGATCGTTTGTCGAAATGTCAGATCAAAATGGACAGGCCCGCAGCCATGTCCTGAATCAGAAGTGTTGAATGTTTTTAACTTTTTGCAGCTGGTGCGGTCCCAGTGCAGCATGCAACGCCGAGCTCGGGCGGAGCTACCGCGTAACCATCGATGTTGGAGGTGCCGTGGAGGGGCAGGGAGAGCCCAGACCAACCCTCGTCCTTTTCAGCTCCGCACGCGGAGGGTTGGCCGTGGGCCTCTGGTGGGTGCCGGGTACAGGGTTCCATGTGAGGCTCTCATAGTTCTGCGCCGCCCTCAGGAGTAGGCGCGTTTCGCTTTTGCGCCGCCATGGGGACTGGGAATCGGCCAAGCAAAATTTTGTGCCTGCTTCCATGTGCACCATCAAGATCATGGCCCTTCATCCAAGACCTGTTGGCTCTTGAGGTGCTGCGATTCCAGATGCCGCGTGGACATGGACGACGACGCAGGAAAGAAGTTGAGGAAGATTCGGTCGAGGCTGGCGTTTAAGGGAGAATCGTTTCATGCTATCCTATCAGAGTGAAGCGTGCACTTAGGATCGTCTTTGCAGATGTAGCGGTGGGGTGCCTTATCCATCTTGGCATTTATGCCCTTGTTTCTACTAACCTTCTCTAACCTCGCTGTACTCTCTCTCATGTGACGGATGAAATTCTGGAAATCTCTGCATTGTCAATTATCTAACCCAGCCCTTTGGAAACTAGTCTTGGTCGCCCACTAGTGTTGCTCAGCCCGTAAATGCATGGTCGCAGAAATGCAGCACTAGCCAAGCGGACAGCAAAACCATCGGCTGCTGAACGTTCCAGCGGTGCAGGCGGTGGAGAGGGCACAACGAACAGTGATTTTCTCCAAGACAAAGCAACTTGTCTGCGAGCGTTTGGAGCACAAGGTGTCCAGAGTCTAGAACCTGCAGAGTCGCTTTGCAGCTGCGCGGCCCATGAGAGCAGCCAAGGATGTGCAAGTTCCATATCCTGGGAGCTTGCACGAAAGGCGCGACGGCCCCAGGTCGAAGGCAGAGGTTGCCTCACATGATGTGCATGGCAGTGGCAGTGCACATCCCAGCACCCGTCCATCTAAGGACGGCTGTAAATTTGCCCACCGCAAAGATGAGCTTCAAGATCTTCCGGACTTAGCTTGCACCAAACTTTGCGACGCGGCTGACTAGGGTTGTGCTGCCGACAGCCAGCTTGTCCATGCACATGCAACGGTAAGGTAAGATGCTGATCAGCACAGGCCGAACGATTGAGGAGGGTGTGACATGGAAGAGAGCCTTGCAACTTGCGACTGGCAGGTTCGTGCGATGATCCAACTTGCCGATACGCGCATAACCGTGCTGAGCTCAAAGAAATACCTGGACTGGCCGTGGCCTCAGGTACTTCACTCGCACGCATCCGTGCCTCCTCCATACAATTAGTCAGCCAATGGTACAGGGCATCGACAGTGCTTTGCAGCGCTTCTCGTGCATTCCTGCGCCATCCGAGCCTTCTCCTCTTATGGATCAGCTGCGAGAGACGGAGGCCATCCCAGCTGCATTCATGAACATGTCAAGGCAGGTGTGAGTTGCACCCAGTCTTTGTGAGGCTTCTCAGCTGGCAGATGCCGCCAAAGCTGCTGCCAAAGCTGCCATCGAGAGCCCTGCGCTCAGACCCGTTTGCCATTCTTCAGCATGTCATCCACAAGCTGGCTTCCGGTACCAGGCAACAACCCGCAGCGTCAGAAGAGCAACGAAGAGATCCAGCGCAAACTGCGTCAGCATCTGTCCTTGCTTGAGCCCCTCGGCTGCGGTTTGTCGGTTGAACGCTTGGACAAGCAGTTTTCACAGCGCTGAGGCAGACCACCAGCTCCAGCAAGCAACCGAACCGGGTTCAGGATGGCAATGGCGCATTGTCCTCTGATCAGTCGCCCACACTTCCAGCAAACCCTCAGTCAGCACGCAGTATCAGTCAGCACAGTATAATGCATCGTCTTTACGGTTCGGATGTCGACAGGCTGACAGGCCTAGGAGTCACAGCCCAGATTGCAGCATGCCTGCAGGAAGCCGCCAGTAGCAGCGTGCCAACTGGTTTGACTCTGCAAGCCGTGCCGGCCACGCTCGCGCCAGCGCCTTGGAGATGCTGTTTTGCATCCGAGTGTGTGATGTCCCATCTTTTGAAATACGTCAACACAGTTCGTCCTTCATTTAGTATTGGAAACCCCCCCCGAGCTTGCAGGGCCGGGGCTACGTCAGACTTTTTTGCCTTTAGCACAAGCAGGATGCCAAAGATGGCTCATTGCGAGCACAGCCTCCCCGGCAATCACTGGCTTAATCTGCCTGGGCTTCGAAACCTGTCTTCGGAAGATATGGCGCCACGCTTTTGAGCAAGTGGTGAATACAAAAAGTGACTATCTAGTGTGCTCCGGGTCGGATTGGGGCGCCCCAATTAATGGCTTGTTGATGGTTGCTGCGCAAACAGGCCTGGTGGCGAAATGGCCCAGTTGTTCCCAGTTCAACTGGCCACGGCCTTTGGGGAGTGTGACGTTCGCTCGTGCGGTGATGGGATGACGGGTAGAGCACACTCCTTTGCCGCAGGGCGGTGCGTTCTTGAGCCCCACTCCTTTGGAAGCCCTGAGCTCAGGGTTAGATCAACAGAAACCCAGAAGCTGATTGACGACCGTATGCGTTGCATCTTTGTGCAGGGTGGACTTCTCGTCAACTTGTCCACGCCCCAGCTTGGGTTCCAGGTCGACATGTATCGGTAGTGTTGCTTCTTCACGGCTTTAAGCTCGTTGCTCCAGCGTTTTTCCTTGCGTTTTCGTAAATAGTTCGTATTCACTAAACCGTAGTTGGGCTAGTTGCACTGTCGACGCCGGCTAAAGACTGAGCAAGATGAGCAAGTCACAATCCAGCAGCACTCATAGATCCCAACACAATCATGCAAAACCCCGGGCCATCCCGCCTGAAGGCCCTTTCTGCCTCTCAGCGCCCACAAGCTGATATTGTACAGGTCGAGCATGGTGGCTGCACAAGTACAGGCACCCACCGTGCCCTGGGTGGGGGTCCCAAGCGATTCAACAGCTTTTTGCAGGCATGATGCGCGGGTCTTGGTCTCTCCGAGAAAACTTTCCATCCAAGCCATAGGAACCGTACCTAGCACATTCTCAATCAACATCGCCCAAGCATGTGCAAGCTGGTTTTCGTCCTGGCTGTGGGGCTTCAGGCTCTGAGGCCGGCTAGTTTCGGATCGTGGATCTGCTTTGAGGCGGCGCCGCTGATTGCAGCTCCCACACAGCCAGCACCAATAGCCGCCTCCACGGGGTCCGGCACTCCGGCTCCGACGCCCAAGCGGGGTGCCTGGGTTTTGGCATGCTTTGGCTATTTTTTCTTGAGCACGTTCGGGACGTCATGGCTCAGGTCGGAGGTGCCTCAACCTGTTTGGTCCCCAGCGCATGCCGTTCTGCGAAGAATCGAAGCCCAACTGCAGAACGAGTGAGCTGACCAAGGCTAAGACCAAAGCTTTGCCCTCTAAAGCGTCCGCAAAGGCATGCGCCACAAAGCAGGACTGCGCTCACAAAGTCGAACCTGCACAGTTTGACGCTCGTCACAAACACGGCTCAAACCCTGAACCCTGAACCCTAAACCCTACCTGGTGGCAACGAAAGGCTTGTATCCCCTTGCACGAAGTGTCGCAGCGTCGCACCTTCTGCAGGAGAAACGCCAAGGGCACAAGTCGGCAACAACAGGCCGGATCATGCTGGCCTTTTCCAAAGATTCAAAGGTCTCCTGGGCCACGGGCAGACGACTGCAAAATGCTGCAAAAACCGTGGCACAGCGTCTGAGGACACACGATCGACCATCAGCCACCTGGGAAGGCAGTGGCCACAGCTTGATGGCTCCATGATGTAGGGCTCCTGTCTGTTCACTTTCTCAGGCTGCACTTCCATTGGCTGCAAAAGCCTTCTGTGCTGTCAATTGAAGGTATTCTTCTAACTTGCATGGGAATTATGCTGCTGAGAAGGATCTTTGCGTCTAGATCGTGGCAGCGAGGGCTTACTCTTCTGTCTCTCATTTTTCTTCCTCGCTTGCCATGTTTGTACGTTTCGTTTCGAGTCGCGCACGAAAGGCACCGCAACACCCCCAGACCCTCCAGCCCCGCATCTTACACGCAAGTCAAGCACCAAAAGAAGACGCAACTCAGTTAATTGGCCGAGAATCTTGCCGGCCGTGTGTGAGTGCGAGAGTCGAAACCATCCACGGTAAGCCCTAACACCTCTAAGCCCTGAAGACGAAAACCCCGCCAATGGAGCCATTTTTAGTGCAGTAACCTGGGCGAACGCTGGGAAGAGCATGCGCGGAAGGTGGACTCGACCGTGGACACGGGCTGGCGCAAGACTGGTGCAAGTCTGTGCAAGATACTGTCCCAATACTGGCCCCCGCAAGTTGACGACGCCACGAGATACGAGATGCCTCGAGATGCCCTGCTGTGGGCATCTCGTTGCCGCAGGGCACCACGTAAAGCGTCGAGACGACCGGCCGCGGGCCAGTGCGGAGAAGAAGCCGGATGTGTTTTCTAGGCTTGAAGTGACAAAGTGCTTTAAAGAGTGCTGGAAGCTCGAAGCCTGGTGCACCTCAAGAGGGCAAAGGGATAGGCAAAAGGCCCTACTGGCCCTATTGCACAGAACACAGCTGACTTCGGTGAACTCTCTCCTGCCCACCAAAGCCGTACACTGACGTCGTCGTCGAGTTTTCCTATTGGGTGGCTGTCAAAATTATGGTCCCCTTGGGGGTCCCTGATATAACACGGCACCTAATATTAAGGGTGTCCAAAAGGGGACCCTGATTTTGACAACTACCCAAGTGGAGGTCAGAGATGGTTGGTATTGGATTGGGGGGCAAATTCTGCAGGAAAGAAGGGGGGAAAGGAGTTACTGAAACTAGATTGTGCATCGTTCTGCGTCCGAGCATGAGCAAGTAAGGGTTTAGTGGTCGGTGGCGGCATTCCCCAAAGAGTGTTTGTGACGATTATCAGCAGGGGGGATGGCAAAAGTTCAAGCCTCCCTGGACCTTCGGAGTTCCAAGCCTTCACCCTTAAACGCTTCAGAGGAAGCACCTACTGTAGGCTACCAAAACACACCTTGATGTTTTCAACCCCTTTGTGCATCCCACATCCTAACAGCCCGAAGTGGACACAAGATGAGGGGGGGCATGTTGGGCCGACGGCAAAAAACAAGAAACAAAGCAAGTCTGGGAGGATGCTCTTCAGCTCGGTTGTTCCTATGTTGGGGTTTACGAGAATAAGGGACCCCTAATATAGACCCCAAATAGTAGGATTCCCTGAGAACAAGACCCTGACAAAGTACCGTCCCTAATTGCGGAAACCCCCATGTTTCTAGCGCCACTTTTAATCGGCAAAGCCCTCCCCATTCAGCCAGGTCTTGTCTCTCGCTAGCGAGCTGCCGAAGCCAGATACCCCTCTGAACCTGGACCAGCTCCGAAGCAGCAAAGTTTTGCGTTTCAAGAGAATGCTTATGGTGTGGCTGGTGCTTTTCCTGACGACTTGGACCGTAGTCCCTGCAGGCAATGGTCCTTGAAGGTTTGATGCGCTGCTTAGTCCGATTCCACCATGAAACGACCCAGGCGACTGCAAGACCAGGTGCAGCATCACTTGCAGCTGCAGCTGCAGCAACAGCAGGAGTCAATGTTTGGTCGGTTGAAGGCTTTATCTTGAAAGAGAGCACACGTATTTACAATTGCAGGAGATACAAAGGCAGCTGCGAACGTCACTTGGCAAGTTATTTTAGTTAAGGCTAGGCTGCTGAAATCATGTGTGTCAGTGTACGTTCAGCCTGTCTTCGTCACCAACGAAGGCAGCTTTCCAACCAACCGCCGAAGGAGAAGCGAAGCCATGCCCCTCGGACGCAAACCAGGCACGGGCAACGGAACTTCCAAAGGGTGCTGAAGACATGTTGAAGACGGTTTGTATGGTTGCGTATCAGACTGTTTAGGGCACAGACTGTCTGCCAAGGAGCCGAATGCAAGGTCATCACAGTTTCCCGGCATCAACATTGCTCAATGCAGGATGGCGCCACACAAGTCTAGCATGCGGAATTCTGGGCGCTAAGCTGCAGTCATTGAGGCTCTCCACTGAGACTCCAAGTCAGGAGCCGCACAGCAACCAGGCAAGCTTGGCGTCAGACCCGGCGGATTTCTCTCGGTATTTTGTTCGATGACAGAGGCTTTGCAGACGCAGACGGCCTCGAGCAGTCCTTCTCAGGAAGCCAATCGATTCGCGGAGCCTTGCCTTGCCAGTGCGATACTGCTCAAATGCCGGTAATGCCGTGCTCAACGCGTCTTGTGCGGGTTGCTGTATGGGTTTGGGGCATGTGGCCTGCACTGAGGTCAAGCACACGTCCCACGATGCGGATGCCGATGCCCCCACGCCAACAGCGCCTTACCACCGTATCAACACATGGAGCGGAGGCTTGAACGAAATGGAGGAGGACCTATCCGACCGAAACTGCAAGCCTGGAAAGCTTCCTAAGGGGGGCTAGGATGAAGCTTAGGTGCCTTCGGTTCCCGGTGAGAGTGAGAATTGAAACGGAACTTGGCTTCCAGGACTTGCTGAACGATCCTGTTCTTGAGCTCGGTCCACTGGACAAGGTGCCCGCTCCTGGCGCTAAGGTCATTGATGGCCGAGTTCTTGTATGGCACAGACGCACCCACATCTATTGCGCTATGGGGTTGTTCTGTTGGAGTAGAATACAGGGGCAACATGTCACTGTATGTGCCATGGATGTCACACAGTTTTCTTGCCTTGACGGCTGAAGAATTCCGCCGAGACAGCAGCCATGTCTACAACAGCTTCTTGACCGTTTTGGGGTTCTCGGGACCACAGAACTCTAACCTTGAGATTCAGGTTGTATCTCTTGAGCCTCGAAAGTTGAGGGTGTGGAAAAAGGCCGAATCCCGGCATTTGGCATTGTCTCATTTCTTGTTTTTCTTCTCTTTGGGGGCTCCCTGAATTTGTCTTGGGGGGACTAAAATCAACTTGCTGGAAGCCTTCAAGGTCGCAACGATGAATGTTACATTGTCCATGCATCCAGCCCCCTTCTTTCCTGAAGCCCTTGAGGCACTACAGAGAACTTGTTGTGCCGGGGTGAGAAGCCAACCTTCAGAGCACACCTGGCAAAAAGCATTCGCGATGCAAAAAAACCAAAAATGCTTCGCAGGAAGTTCGTGGAGGTACTGCAATTAGCCCCACCACACTTGTTCTTGCCATGCTTGATGCCAGTAGCACGCGGAGGTGGAGCAAGCCACCCTCCAGCTGGGGCCCTCCCCCAAGCCGCAGAAGGCGCAGAGGGGGTCTGGACAAAAACGGGCGCTTAACCCTGGGATGTTTTTTTTTAGACTAACAGTCCTAAATAAGGATGATGAAAGGGGGTACTATAATCCCTGTTGAGGACTGTTAGTACACGGGGGAGCATTTTTTGAAGCTGTTCTGTGGTTGAAGCGCTGGGATCGGTCTTCCATCGAACTGCGATGTTTTTGCCTCGAGGATGTACTGCGCGGCCTTCATTGCGTACCGGAAAACCAGCGATTGAACGGGAAGCTTGGTGCGATTGCGGCAATTCGTTCAGTTCCTGCCCCCAGAACTGTTTCTTGGCTTGTGGTCTTGCGATGATCATAAGGATGGGGCGCCAGATTTCCGAATGCTCCGAAACCTCAGTGACATCCACAGACACGCCCACGCGCACCGAGAAACGTCATCAGGATTGATACAGTGTTTCCTGCCTGACGTCCGCAGATGTTCGGAGAATTTGGCAGTTGTTCTTGTAGCTGCCAGCACGGGGCCAGCACGCAGGACACACCGCTTGGATGGGCAGGCAGACGTCCAGACAGCCAGGAGCTTAGATGAGCTTTTTTTGGCTTTCCTCGGAGATCAACCCAAGGCTTAGGGATCAAGACTCCTACTGGCTGATATGTCGGTGGCGCGGCGATTCACATGTTGGAATTTCGCCCAGGCAGAGGGTCCTCCCCCTTCTCCGCCGTGCACGAAGCACCAGAGCTTGAGGACACCTTGTAGCTTTGCTCTTCCTTGGGCTTGTGCGCCCCGTGTGTACCTGTCAGGACGAGGATTGCCAGGACCATGCCTCAGTCTGGCTCTGCTGCATCTTAGACTCTTTGATGGCAACGTGTGGTGCTGTGTAGTCATGGTGTGTGTGTGAGAGGCTCTGGACGAGGATGGATGCAGGCCGCAGCCGCAGGCAGGGACTCCGTAGCAATAGTTGTACCAATAGCCAATCGCCAATAGACACAAGGCGGCTGTGGCTGGGCTTGCCATACATGCCGACGCAGTGGGGTTTTGGTCCATGCTGGGATTTCTGGTGCCAGGAACTGGGACATATCTCTGGGCCGATCTCTCCCAACACCAAGCTGCACCAGGAATTTGGGGCATCTCCTCCGCAACTGAGCCATGCTGGAAAACATGGAAAAGGCATACATGGCATACTTGCCGTTTGCCTGGCAAGAAGCAGCGAAATAGATTAGACGGCGTCGGTCCAGGAATGCAGTTTGGTCGGGTTTGAGATGTGTCTAGTCGAAGTCGTGTGGGCCTGGCATGGGTCCGAGTCCTGAGGGCGCGCAGCTGTACCCCACCTGCCTTCGCAGAACCTGAACTCTTTAAGAAACAAAAGGCTGATCTCTCGAACCAGTGGCGACATGGGGAAGCATCAGATCGCCCTGAGGCTGTCGTCAAGAACACATTCCTGGAGGTACAGGACGAAGAGGAACAGGACGCTCCCAAGCTCCGGCTCGTTCAGACAGTTGGAGGCCAAGTTACTGAGCATCTGAGGGTTCAACAATGTTCAACTCACTTCAACACACAGGTCCTCAGGGCCTCCAGGCACAGCAGGGTTTCCATTCGACCGAAGTGGGCATTCCATGGCTGAGGCTGCCGGCAGGCTGGACAGCATGGGGGGGCTGCCCTCCAATCCTTCCTTCGAGACCTTGATGTAATTCAATGGTTTTGAATGTTTGAGAATCTCGGATAAGTTCAGCGAAGCTCAGCAACCTTGAGATTTCTCAGAAAAGCTGAGCTAGCATTGCAGGCACCTGCCCGTAGCTGATTGTTGTTTCTTGTGCCTCTTGATCCGCTTGCGGGGAAGACCTATGCAAGCTTTGGCGACAGATTCTGCTCACACTGGTATATGCTACTTCAATGTCACCGTACTTCAGCCAGAAGCTGTACACTTTGGAAACTAGTGCTTCAGGCATAGCACCACGACATGGATCATTTTAATGTGGCAGGGCATCAGCTGGCGGATGCAGCGAAACTGCCGAGAAGGGATCTTAAGACTGATCAAACTTTGTTGTAACACGTAGGGGGCCCTGAAGACTCATTCCGTCTCTTTGCTTCTCTCGGTCTCGGTTTTGGTTCACGCCACGCCGTATGCGCAATGTTCGCATCCGCATTCGTCTGAAGAGGTGCAAGTGTGGAGATGATTAAGCTGGCAGTACTGGCAACAATGTAATACACGTGTTTCGGCAAGCACTACGAAAGGTCACGGCCGCTATTTTGCAACTTGACTTCTCACTAAGCAACCACTAAGCACACATAAGCCAATGTAGGAACCACACGCATGGAGGAGTTGCCAGTTTGTGTGGCACATTACAGTGGAGTAAGAGTCGGGGATGCAGCAGTCATCCCCCAACGCCACGCTGCCAGCAATTGCTTTTGGCCTGGTTGGGCAATTTTGAGCTGGGCGGGGGCTGCTTGTGGCTGTTTCAGCCAAGCGGCATGAGCCGCCAAGGACACAGCTGTGACGCCTTGTAGGCACTGCGACAGCAAGCGCAGAGTCTTCCAGGTGCTGGTGCACAGTGCATGTGAGTTAGGCCAACGGCTGAGTGACAAACTCATTGCTTCGTTAAATTCTTTAGGTTCATTATGATAGGTTCAAGTCCAGTAGGCATTTTGTGGACGCCAAGTTGAGCTGCTTTGCATGTCAAGTGAATGCCCAGCCTGTGATGCCTGTAGCTTACATCGGGCACGATGTTGCCCTGAGGCAGACCACTTGAAAGTTGTCCAACTTATCTCTCTAAGAGGTAGTGCATTGCCGAGTTTTGATGCGACTCACCGTTTATCTCGTCTCCGCGCAATCGCCGGTCTGCCTCTTAAGCATGCCCTTGGCATGCAGATCTGGTCGGGCCTTTGATTCCTGACCCGTTTGAAGTGCAATGTTTCAAAAGTTGTTTGAATGACGGGTTGCCTTGAAGCTTTGGCTATGTACCTCTGTCATCCCAGCCCAGCTTTCTGCCGGTACCCAAGTCTTCGCAGCCGTTGCTTGTTTACCCCACGTAGTCTTGTACTCCGTTTCGTATCCCCCCCCCCCCCCCCCCAAACAAAGGGCGAGAGCATGTTGGTTGCAGTTCAGATGAACGCCAGGATCCAGAAAGCCTTGTTGGGAAGGAATCGGGTTTTTGGGCTTTTAGGGGACACCTGAGGCCTTGAAGCTTGTTTAGGAGTTTAGGGTTCTAGGAATCCAGCCTTCCACTTCTTCGGCAATAGTGGAATTTCATGTTTGAATCACAGGGGCAGCATTACCACACTTTCCCGGCGGGCTACTCCAGATATCAGAAAGTCGGAGAGCTCTTTGGAAGACCGGCGGGTGGCTGAATCGTTTTCTCCAGTAAAGAAGGCAGGCATGCCGCCAGACACTGGCAACTGCCACGCCAAAGATGCATCCTGCAACCCAATCCTTGCTGCAACTGGCAGCAGGTCAAGAACAGTGTGGTCTTGACATTTGCATCTAGCGATGCCAAGAATCTCAGCACTCTCACGCAACGTACCTCTAGAAGCGCGCTTCAAGATTCCTCGAGTTGGTTCATCACACTGTGCGGAAGGGTCGGATACGCTCGTATCTCCTCTTTGAGTTGCTCCTTTTGAGGCTCTGCCGAATGCTCAGTTGATTGCATCAAAGGCCTTGCATGGCCAACTGGGCACCCCCCATAATTTCCCACAATGCAGACGCATTCACGTGTTCTTGCAGCATCCGGTTCCAGCAGAAGCTTTATCTACAAGGTTGATGACAACGCACCGGGAGCCTATGCGAGTCGATTGCACAGCTCACCCCGCCGGCTGCACGGAGGTTCACCAGCCCTCGTTGCGGTCAAAAAATCGTCAGGTAGCATGACCGATCGTGCTTGCAAGCCATCTGCCCTCCTGACTTAGACTGTAGCTGTTGCTACAACTCCACCATGACTGGTACGCGAGCACACTTTCAGGACTCGTGAGTGCATCCCGTCTACAATCTGCCAGCGCTTCGCTGGCTCACCCAGCCAGATTATTAGAGTAACAACCAAGACTTGTGCGCTGAGAGGTCAGGCATGCGAGTTCGACGTCCACCATGCTCATTGCTAGGAACAGAAGCCTTCAGGGCAGATTCCCCGATAGAACCCGGGCTTGGAGGAGAACTACAGAGTCTAGGTCCTTAGCTCCCTAGGTCCTAGGTCGTGTTTGTAGTGCACCATTACCTGCAAGAGTTTGGCCGCTTACCGTGTCATGCTACCATCAGATGGCTGAGCCATGTCCAGAGCTTCCGTGCACCCGCCGGAGGCTTTGCTCTGACCTGCTTTTCTTTCTATGTTCGGGTTGCGGGGTAGAAAGGTTGCCGCTGGCCCCAGGCATAGGCCTCCCGGTCGCCCCAGCATGCCCGAAAGAGGCTCCCTGCTCCAAAGTGTAAATCCACAGGCCTGGAAGAGAAGCTTGCGGAATGTGGCATCCGAGACACGCGCCCCTGCAGCGCAACACGGGGTCCGGCTAGGTGTCAAGAAGAAATAAACCGAAAGCACCCAGGCATCTCGACCCTTTTGAGAAATGACTACCACCGCTCTGCAGGCGGGGGCCACTGAACCGAGAGCCGCAGCGCGGCGCCTCTCGACATGAAGGATCTCTCAAAGTTCCCACAATATCGTGCGCAGCTCCGACTTCCAAATGCATTCTCGGAGCTCATATAGGGCTTGAGGTGTGTGCGGCTCCTTGCATAGCCATGAAGAAGTGTCCATGCACTTCAGTCATTGACATCTGCAAACACCGGGGGCCCAGGGTGCATTCAAGAGAATTCCTGGCTGCAAAGATAGGAAGCCTAGCACATGTGTGACGAGGTTCCTAGTTTCTCTCAAAATCTGCTCTGAGCTTTGAGCCCCATGGCTTTCTTGCGAAGCGGTTGCCGGCACAGGAATTGTTGGATCAGCAATGCGTGCAAGCTAGACCGGTATATGTCATGAGTGTCGACAGGGGCAATATGGGCCTGATGGGCGCACAGTTCTGAGATGTTCGGAAGGAACCTGCATGACGGAAGAAGATGTAGTCCAAAGCCTTCGAAGAACCTGTACATTCACAGCTCTTCGGACCGGTAGATCCTTGCATGTTCAGCTCAGAACTTGCTGAAAGGCCACCTGCTACGGCTCCTCGCTCATGTGGCCGAGCGAGCGCAGGAGCTGTGTGGACACGCGCGCATCATCGAAGCATGGCAGCAGTTTGATCGGTTGGGGTGAGGATTTGACATGCCGGGCAAAGTAAAGTTGCATGAATAGCTGTTCATTCGGGTCATCCCGCATTTCAAACTGCCATCATCTGCCCTAACGTCATGCAGGCGTTTTTTTCGGACATCTGACACTGGCTGCAGAAGCTTCTTCTCAGGTTTCTGATGAAACTCTGCACGACTGGGACGTGGCCCTGCTACTTATGGAGAGATGCATGTGCTAGAGGATACTTGATGATACTTGCTTGTAGCAGATATAGACCAAGTCTGGAACAATCAGCACCGTACAGTCGGCAGACACAAGCCGAGGTCGAGTTCCACCTCCCACTTGAGACTAGCTTGGGGACTCAGCTCGCTGACTACAAGCAACAAACACAAGCTCCAGATGTGGTACTTATGAGATTTCGGTTCCCGGACACGTTCCCTGCACATCCGCCCGTCTTGTGCTGCGCGCGGCCACGTCTGAAAATCACAGATCCTGTCAGCAGCACTCTTCCCCTCACTGATGCTGGCATTCTGCGTTTGCCAGAGCTGTCCACATTTCTTTGGCGGCCCGACAAAGACGTAGTAGACATAGTGTTGCAAGTGCACAAGATTCTTTCGTCTGATGGGCTTGCGCTGGACACGGCAAAGAGGTCGTATGTCTCACCAAGTGCGAATGCTGGACTCGGTGCAACGGCCAAGCTGCCAACTATATCTCACTGTGTTGACCAATTCCCAGCATCGTGCCTGGAACTCACCGCCGAAGTGTTGCCGGAACTTGCCGACATTCCGCCCGGCAGAGTGGTTTTGCCCCATCATTGTGCTATGGACATATACCGCCGTGTGTTCGGTGGCAGCGGGGCGCAAGGCACTGCAGCCTTCCACGTGGAAATCAAGAATTGTTCCAAAGAGGTTCGGGCATTTGCTGGAATGGCAGAAGTTTCTGCACTTCAAGAACCCATCGTTCTGTTGCCATCATGGATGATGCGGCAGCTCTTCTTGGAGGACGGTGATCCTGTACGTGTCCGTGCCGTGTCACTTCCACTCTGCGGCTGTGTCCACCTGCAGCCACAGACCCAGGAGTTCTACGAGATAGTCGGTGCTGAGCCAGAGCTGGTGTTGCAAGAATCTCTTGCTCCCCTTCCAGCACTAACATCGGGACTATCCATTCAGGTGGAGGTGGCCATTGCGCAGAACTTCCAGATTGGGCTCCGCAGGGTGGCCGTGGGCGTGGCTCGGCTGGAAGACATCTCAGGTAACGACGTGGTGGCCGCGAAACTTCCCGGTTTTGCGGGAGTGCTTGGGGACCATGAAGTCCGCGTCGAGCTTCTCCCGGCTACAGACCTAGCCGAAAGTGGGAAGGAATATCAGGAGAGGCTCAGTGCAGAAGCCAAGCGCCAAGCGATGATTCAGCAAATGCTGGAAGAGAAACATGCCCGACGTCAGGCGCAGCATGTGGATGACATGGGCCAAGCAGAGCCATGCGATGACAGCTCTGGCTTCGAGTTGTGCTTTAGACTTCCAAACGGAAGGCAGGTGCGACACCGCTGTCCGAGAAATGAGGCAGTTCTTGACTTGAAGGCTCGCTTATTCAGTCTTTTTGCTCGAGAGGTTGGTTTGTGGAAGCCTTGTGTGGATCATGCATCAGCACTGGAACTGACCGTCTTTCCGAGAAGATTGCTCTGTGACGTCGAGAAGGTGTCAGACATAGGTGACCGTGCAGTCGTCCATGTCACAGAGAACGCCAAGGCCGTAGAAGAGGCAGAACATTCGAAAGAGGTGATAGGAACCATCCTGTACCCGGCCGAACTGGAAGGAGACATTGCCTCGTCACGGCAGGAGGAGATCCGGTGCGAAGCATCGCCATCACCGCCTCCGGATCACAGCATCGAACGTCGTTTGCAGGTTGGTCCGGTAGGTCCGGCATGCGAAGATGGTTTGGAGGCTTTGCCATTTCCAGATCTTCGTGCCCTGGCTTTGTCATTAGGCTTGCTTGCCGCAGACGTTGCGCGCGCAGTTGATAAGGCAGAGCTGCTGGCGCTCTTGTCACGGCACCAACGCCGCGCCGCTCGCGTAGCCAGGGACACTTCACTCACCACTGTCGCCACGGAACGCAGAGCGTCATCCTTGTCAGCCCGTCGCGGCAGCTCCCAGCCTCCCCGTGCAAACAATCGAAGCAGCCAATCGGTCGGAGCCCGAGAGAGGCGAGAGAGAGGCCCGGACGCGAACCCAGGCAGCCGCCGCTCTGAGGGGCCAAGGCCAAGTGGCTATTCAGCCCGTGTGCCCAGACCACCGCGAGAGCCCGAGCCACACCTCAGCGTAGGACCGAGGGCCACAAGCAACCCACAGAATCCACAAGCAGCAGGAGGCCAAAGGAACTTGCCTCCGCTTCCCACCCCTGAGCGAAGTCTTGCTGAAGGCCGTCGCCCACATCTGGGTGTCTCACCAACACATCCCAGGCTAGGGGCACCACGAGAGCCCCTCCGGCGGGCAGGCCAGATGATGCTTGGCGATGAACGGTCCAGGGCCGGGCAGGTCGCACGCTCAGCTTCACCACGTCCAAAGCGACGTGCGTTGTGAGGCCCATTCCGCTGCTGCAGTGCAAGAAGCACCCACAGATTACTGTCCATCTCATGTGTTGGAAGGTGTAACTCAGGGATAACCGTGCAGGATACAGGAATCTGAGAAACCAAGGAAAGACCACGGAGTGCAAAAGAGTAAGAATATGTAAGAATATCTCTACTATCTATGGGCCAAAATGTATCCACGTGATTATTTGGACCAATTGGGTTTGGGTTTTTTTGGGCTCTCAGGTTTAAGAATGGCACACGGGTTGCACACCCGCGAAACATACCCCGTAGCATACCCCCTAACATACCCCCGAAATTGCAGGTAAAGTAGCTCCTGATGCCGCGAAACATAGCCGAAACATACCCCCGAAACATACCCCGAAACATACCCGCGAAACATACCCCGACCCCAACACGTGTCACGCGCCTCCCCATTAAAATACACACCCATTTGAGGTCGTAGGGGAGAACTTGAATCATTATTTGGACTCTTCATCGCAAATCGAAATTCATATATCTAAGACATTCATATAAAGAAGACCTACTCTTTGTCCCTGCACTTATTGTAGAAATGCATGAATTTTCCGAAGATGTCTTACTACAATCGTATGATTAGTCGTTTCTATCTCAACCACTACTCGAGGCCCATAGTCAACGCATGCGCGTTGCTCTTCAATACCTTCTAGGTCGACAATTGACCGACAGATAATGGATCCAAGCGACGCTTCCGACGAAGACCGGTGGATTAGGTCAGATTATCGATCGGATAATTGTTCAGGGCAGTTTCATTTCTCGAGCCGACATTGTTGGGGATTGTTCATGTCGGTCAACTAGAGTAAACTAGAGAATAGGTTCGAGGAATGTTAGGTATTAATGGAGGTCTGGGAATCGATCCCATCGAGATGTCGGTTAGATATGGAAATTCTTTCAAGGTGTCCGTGGGCTCTGTGGTGTTGATGCAATATCTTGATATGGAAATTCCCTTCAAGGTGTCCATGGGCTCTGTGATGGTATTGTAATATCTTATTATGGAAATTCCTTTTAAGATATCTTTGGGCTCTATGGTTGTGTGCAATATATTGATATGTAAATTTCCTTCAAGATGTCCGTGGGTTCTGTGGTAGTGTTATAATATCTTGATATGGAAATCCTCTTCAAGGTATCCGTGGACTCTGAGATTCTTTTGTAATATCTTGATGTGGATTTTTTTTCAAGGTATCCATGGATTCTATGGTTCTGGTATATCATTTTGATATGTAAATTCCCTTCAAGATTCTATGATTCAGTTGTAAGATCTTGATATGGAAGATTTCTTCAAGATGTCTATGGGCTCTGTGGCGTTGTTGTAATATCTTGACAAGCAAATTTCTTTCGAGGTATCCATGGGTTCTATCGTTCTATTGTATCTTTTTGATAAGGGAATTTCTTTCAAGACGTCTGTGGGATCTGAGGTTCCTTTATATCATCTTAGCATGGGAATTCCCTGCAAGATATCTCTGGGAGGGATTATCGTTCTTTTATAAAATTTTGATATGCAAATTCTTTTAAGGTATCTATGGGCTCTGGGGCGTTGATATAATTTCTTGACCTTGAGATGGTCATGAATTCTGAGGATCTATTGCAATATCTTGATATGGAATATCTCTTCTAGATATCTATGG